TACAACTAAATTGCACAATTACTATTTTACTGAAATAACAAGTCATTGAGAATGACACAGTCCCCGTTAAATTTTTAAAAGTTCTCTTTGTGCTCGTCATATTAAAGCGAAGAAGTTTTTGCGTGTCCTTGAAACTTGAGTTCCAAGTGGCATATACAACAGATTGTTTATTTACATCAAAACACGTGTTCCTTGTAGTAGTAATATGGCCAAAAATAAAAACAGCCCTTATTCGGCCATCTTTGATCTGATTATGAAACACACTGATATGTATGATGTACATGTATGTGCCAAATATGAATGAAAATGGTACATAAATTGTGGAAATATAGCAGTAAGGCCAAAAAGTCAGATGGCTGTCAATCGGCCATCCTTGACCAGATTTTGAAACAAATTGTCATGGACATGCCTCCTAACATGTATAAAGTACATGTATGTGCCAAATTTGAATGAAAACTGACAGAGCACGTCCAAGATACCGCATAAAAAAACCCCAAAAAACAAGATGCCTGCCAGTCTACCATCTTTGATCCAATTGCGAAATAAATCATCATATACATGTATCCTAACATGTATAACCTATGTACCAAGTTTGAATGACAACTGAAAAAACATATCCAAAATACAAGATTTTCAAAAAACAAGATGGCTGCCAGTCGGCCATTTTGAATCAAATCCCCTAAACCACTGCATGTGCATATGTCCCACATATGTACTAGGCACATGCAAAGAATGAACGGAATCGGTCCACAGGATTCTGAAATATGGACTCTGGACAGAGTGACGCATGGACGGACGACACACGGACGGACTCAGGAACTCACGGATGGTCGGGGACATGTATCCTAACATGTATGATCTATGTACTAAATTTGAATGAAAACTGACAAAGCATGTCCAAAATACAACATTTTCAAAAAACAAGATGGCTGCCAGTTGGCCATCTTTGATCGAATTGTGAAATAAATCGTCATGGACATGTATCCTAACATGTATAATCTATGTACCAAGTTTGAATGAAAACTGACAAAGCATGTCCAAAATACAACATTTTCGAAAAACAAGATGGCTGCCAGTCGGCCATCTTTGATCCAATTGTGAAATAAATCGTCATGGACATGTATACTAACAAGTATAATCTATGTACCAAGTTTGAATGAAAACTGACAAAGCATGTCCAAAATACAACATTTTCAAAAAACAAGATGGCTGCCAGTCGGCCATTTTTGTATTAAATCGCTAAACCACTGCATGTGCATATGTCCCACATAAAGTACTCGGCACATGCAAAGAATGAACGAAATTGGTCCAAGGGATTCTGAGATATGACTCCGAATGGACGCACGGAGACAGAATTACAAGTCCTATAAGGGACTAATTACCATGTAAATATAGCACAGTATACGGGTATTTTGTTGTTCTTTTACTAGCCAGATCAGTTTACTACTAAAAGATCTTGGAAAGCATATTACCAACTTCATTGTCAACGGTCTTTATTTTTTCTACTTAATTCTACAACTAACAAATGTTACATTGTACCAAAACATTCCCTAATTTAAAGATGGTCAGATAACAAATATTTATTGTTGTAACCACAAGAAGAGGTGAGATTGAATGAGTATCTGGAAAAACCACCACCAAGATAATGTTTTAATTATATTTGTTTTAGTCATAATTACTAGTGTTGTAATCAATATCTGATATAGTTGTCATGGCTACAGAAATGAATATCCATATGAAAGAATGTAGCATAATGTTACCACAGTGATCAAGCATGTACAATGTATTGTATCATTTGTGTCAATCAGTGCTG